ACACACACACACACACACACACACACACACACACACACACACACACACACACACACACACACACACACACACACACACACACACACAACAATAAATCCTATTTCGAAAATGTCAAGAAATGACCCTGCAGGTACGCTGTGGTACGAGTCTTTTTAAAGAATAAAATGAATTAATTAATATATTTAAAAACAACATTTTTAAAAAATCTACTGTATGCTCAGCAAAGACAGCATGGGATAATGATGAGGATGATGGTGACAATCAGGCCAAGAGAGGCTGATAATTACTCTCAGTGTGCTGGTAAAGCTCGTGACTAAGAGCTTGATAAACACGAGCCGGTCGCTTGGAGATTGTGATGGGTTGCCGTTTTCTCGGGTTGATCCGCGGGGGAGGGACAGGTGGGGCAGTGCTGTCCTCTGGCATATGACTGAAGATCTGCAACCATATTGAAAAAAGAAAAAGAAAAAAAGTCACAGTAACACTTTAGTTCACTGGCTACTTTTTCAGCTCCACAGAGTCTCAGCTGAAAGAAGTAAAAAATCTTTACATGATAAAGAAAAAAAGAAACTAGAAAAGTATTTTTTTTTCTTAAGAATGACATTAACATAGAACAACAAAGAGAGAGAAAAAAAAAGCACAAATACCAAAGTAGTAACTTAATGACTAGAGCGGTGACAAACACAAAGCTGCTTGTTCTACGCAAAGTCGCTTTAAAAGCATAGATGTAGAGCAACCAGCAGGACAGTCAGATAGCCTGGCTCAGTCCTGAGGACTTTTTTAGTCAACTCATATAAAACCCAAACCATAAAAACAGCAATTTGCTGTTTTACTGGCAGTTATGTACAGGAAACTCCAAAGCCTTCAGCAGCCTTGCCAAGACAAAAAAAAGAAGAGCTTGGAAAGAAATCCTCAGCTGTGTTTTACACTCCAAAACAAAGGAGGCAACATGTTGATTAGTTGGCTTTAAAAGTGCTGGTAGGTAGATTTTATTACCTTTGGACTGAGCCATGTTTTCAGTTTTCCCCCTTACTTTACGTTAAGCAAACCACCAACAGTAATAGCTTAATATACCTATGAATTTTAATGGTCTCACAACTCTCTGGGTGAACGACATCACTTCAGCCGTACCTTTTTGCAGTGCTCTATCAGAATCTCAACCACGATATTTTGGAACTTGATATCCAACATGGCCGCCACAGTTTCCTCCTTTGCTCTCATTAGCGTGGGCCCAAAGATAACCGCCATATTTGAAGAAGTCATCAGGTTTTCGTCGCTGTGGCTGCACACGCTGTCAACAAATGGAAGGCTGGGTTGAGTAAAACACTAACTCAAAACAGCCAGTGGCACGCGAACAGAGCTCCTTCTAGAACGACAGGAAGAGCTGCATTGCAAGTTGCATTCGAGTAAGCTCGCACTTACTTCACCAAGTGCTTTATAAGCATCTCCAGCATTTCCCGATTCTTCTCTGGCAGCTTGTAGGTAAGTGAATGGATTTCACTCAGTCGAATGTCCAGATTATCTGACTCTGTCACACAGACAAGAAGTTATAGAAATCATGATCATTTCATTTTCCTTTTCCTTTTATGTCATCTCAATAAAATCAATCGTTCTGTGTTAATCACAACCAAAAACAGCATCACTTTCTGAGAGAGCATGGACTGGGCAACAGCCTTTCTGCACCGTCGTGAAACTAATAAAAGAGTGTCTCCAGAATGTCGGGCCATATAACGAGAAGCCCCCCATTTCCTATAATGAATGGCATTTCCAGGAGCCTGAGGCCACCAGCTGCCTTAATGCAACATCCTGACAGAATGAGGCTGATGCTATTAAAGTCATTGTCTTCTTGGTTTTTACAGTATTGCTGTGTGACAGATAAAAACAAATAGGAGTCTCAGATTTCCTTTAGTGTCCAGAGTTATATAGTGTTGCACTTGTACTTAAAGAAGTACAAGTGCAAAAAGCACATGTCACTCTTTAACTTTCCATTTCCCTGGCATAGTTAAACAGAAAACCAACTGGATTGGACCATGTACATATACATAACACAAGCCTTTGGCAAGTCTAGATTCAAGGAAAGATTTTAGAGAGGAGGCACACATTAGAACATAACCTCCCCGGTCTTAGCAATGGATCACTTCCAAAACACATCTTACTTGCAGCACACATGAGGTCTCTGTGCAGACTGTAGGTCATTAGAGGTTCAGACAAACTCCTGCAAATAAATAAGAACACACAAGTGCAATATAACTCACCACATTAAAAACACGACAAAGCCAAAAAGCAGCATTCCCTCAGTATAGAGTTACACTAGAAAGTAATGAGACAGAGAGCGAGAGAAAGCAAGTGCATCTTCTGTCAAGCCCACATTTGTTAATGTGGTAATAAAAATGTGTTTCAGATGTGCAGATCCACATCTGTAAATATTATACGATCAATGCTGGAAAAATACTTTGGGGATTTTACAACCCTGTGATTATATATTTTGCAAAAGTGCATGTAAGAATATAAACAAATCTGACCCTGGACCAATTAAAAGGCATTTAATAATAATAATAATAATAATAATAATAATAATAATAATAATAATAATAATAATAATAATAAGGAAATAATATAATATAATGTCATATGTAAACACACACACATACCTGAGATAAAACTTCAAAGCACTTGTGACTGTTTTAACATCCCAGTCGCTGCTGTGGAGATCCACATCTCCTGGGTTTGCAGAGTCTATGAAAGAGCAGGAAAAAGGCTCATGCTACCTTAATTACTCAAAGACATTAACTAGATGTGACATGTGTGGACCACATTGTATAACAGATAAGCATCTTGAGGACATCTGACAAAAAAAAGAGCAACAGCAGCATTCCTTCACAGTTATGTTTACACACATCTCCCCACACAGCTGGGGGAGAACGCCAGCTCTACAGCAACCTCAAAGGACCCACTGTCATCAGGAGCAGAGGGGTTTACTACAAGCAACATTAATGTGTTAGTGAGGTCTGGTGAGCTCAAAGTCAGAGTTTTAAGTATCACGAAGGTGGCTCTCGCTTTACCTGGTCAGTTACTATAGCAACTTGTCCTGACCTGATCCAGGGCAGGTTATGGTTTCAAATTGGCTGGAAAAGACGCTTTCTTTTTTTTCACCAAATTGTCAACTACAGTTGCGGCAGTGCAAAATGTGCCGACTTTGTTTAGCATTCAGCTACTAATGCAGAAAATATATAAATGTTTTCATGCGTGATCCTAACCTGCTGCCAAGTCTATTCTGCACTGCTCGATTGCAACTAAAAGAACAGAGATTTGAAAATTATTCAGTGGCAGCAGATGGCCACCCCTCCCTGAGCTCGGTTCTGCCGGCAGTTTCTTCCTGTTAAAAAGGGAGTTCTTCCTTCTTCCCACCGTTGCCAAGCACTTGCTTGCAGGGGATTGTCACATTGCTGGAGTCTTGTAGGGTTTTTACCTTAAAATATAAAGCACCTGTATTTATAATAATTCAATTCAATTTTTTTATTTGAATTATTTGTAGGTTGTTTATCACCAAGAATATTAAATCCCTAAAGTTAATAATTTCACTTTAATCTGACCAAAAAATCGAAAGTAATTTCCACATCTCTGTCATTTGGCTGCGGGGATCCATCAGATCTGAATGCACTGATGTTTAAATGAAGTCTGGTTTGATCTATTTTCTGTTTGAGCACACACAGGAAAATGGAGCAGAAAGCCTAGAGTAAACAGAGAAAGTTCACACCACTACTATGAAACACATTATTGGTATTGAACCTGAAATGTTCTACCCTAATGAAGGCATAGTTTCTGAGTCTGAAAAGAAAGCCCTGGCCAAGGTGCCTTAAACTAGCGTGGTTGCCCCCAGCTTGAAGTGTCATAACTGATGGATGTAGCCACTGTGATTTCACCAACTGGTTTGTGGCATCCTGTAGTGAAGCCTGGAGCTGACCGTTTTCATTGTCACCATCTTGCTGAAAGAGAGACAGCCCACGACTTATGATTGACAAGTCGTTACTCATTGAGCACATCCTGTTTTATCTTTATGTCTGACTCTAAAAGGCATCATAATTTACAAAATTAACTTTACGTTCTATCTGAAATCTTCTGAGAACCAGCTTATTCTTTATGTCCTCTATAATAGCCATTTCTTTTTTTGTTTTTTACTTATTTGAGCTACCTAAGTCCCGGTGTACTAAACAGAGGACATCCTTGGCTTTCCATTGATATCTCATGTGTTTTTTGGGGCAGGAAATCACAAAAAAGTTACATTTGAAGATTCTTTTTTTCCAAAGTTTTCAGGAGGATATGGCCTAGACCAATAGATATGGTCTATTGCAGAACCGCAAACACTTTAGCAACCACATTGGTCGCCCCCTGCTGGACATTTTAAAAAAAGGAAACAAATCCATCTTTTATGTACAGCCTGTGGCTGCAAAAACATATCCCAGTGGCAGACATATTAGTAAATGACCCCTTAAGATCCCTTGCTCTCTCACTTCAAAACACTATGAGTTTATGGCTTCAGTGGCTAGTTTGAAGTTAATTCTGTAAATTATGGTCCATTTAAGTGATGCTAACTGTCACAGTCAGCATTACAAATATGGAATGGATCTGTTTTAAATAAAACTAACATGGCTAAAATGATCAGCTACTGGCTACCATGGATATAGCTTAAAGCAATTTTAAGGTTGAGCCTTCCAGAAGCAGGACAGTGAGTCAGCAGATGTTTCCCTGTCATGCCCGATTGAAACTTGCAGAACCTGTTGTGCCGTGTTAATAAGTCTAACAGAGTGAAACATTGTAAAAGGACAGATGTAGCAAATTTTCACAAGCTTACCGAAGAAGGCGTTTAAAAGCTTCTGCACTTGGATGTTGCTGCCAACCGTCCTGTACACTCCTTCCTGTGTGGCTCCTAGGAAGAAGACATGGGGAAGGTTAAAAGAAAAGAAAAAAAAAAAAGTGCATGGACAAATAGAGAGCTGTGGAAATGCCCACATGATTCCCTTGAATGTTCCTGATGTTCCCTGATTTTGATTACAGATGCAAAAAAAAAAAAAAAAAAAAAATCTTTCTTTCACTAGTGTATTCGGTTTAAAACATAGACATGTTAATGTTTTTAGAGCTTAGCTTCATTCCAGTAAGATGAATCATGACACTGGAGAAAAATACTGTGACTGTAGGTTTTAATCATTAGGGTGTGAGTTTTAGCAACAATGAGCATGAAGGGAAGATGTGAAGAAAAGGTAAAAACCTCTGAATTTAATAGACCCTCACATAACAAGCAAGAGAGAGAGAGCAACGTGATGATTAAAATCCTTTATAATGTGAAAAATACTACATTTCAGACAACTCTTATTATAAAGAAGGGCATGTCTCACAGAGAGCAGCCAGCGAGTAGTGTCAATGTGTCACACGTGACTCAACTACGCCCCCTTAAGGGAAAGAAGAAAAATTAAAAAGGCAAAAAAAGCAAGAACGATCCTTTAACAGAAGCGTTTACCTTTTGTTTCAATGTAATTGATGCACTTTCGCACAAACTTGAATCCAGTTTCATTCAGTTCCACTGTGGAAACAAAAAATAATAATTTACATTTACGAAAAAGCCACGATTATCAAGCACATACTTGTCACTGCTAAATGGATGCATTCAATGGCATGAGATGGAAAGTAGGACAGTATAGCATCTGTCCACATAAAATAATATTACAGCTTTAGACATTGAAGAAACTGATGAGTGACTTACTTTCAGCTTGCTTGTGAATTGGTGAATGATAAATCTGAAATTAAAAAAAAGATGCAGTAAAAAAAAAAGTGAGGATTGTGCAGGAAAAAAAAAAATCAAACACACAGTGGAACTAATGAAAAATAAATCCTTAAAAATGAGAGGAAACAAACACTTGAAAGGCACAGTGAAGGATTTCAGAGGAGTTGACAAGAATATTAGCATGATTTTTGAGTTCTGGTTCGAGTTTACCTCATGAGCAGATTGAAAGTGCATGATAACTACAGTAATGACAAAAAAAAGAAAAAAGACGCACTTCTACTTTGAGCACTTTTTTTGTGTGTGATCCTCGCCGTGAAATAGCTCACTCCCCTCCCCTTTAATGAAAGTCAGAGGTCCTGGCCAGCTCCAAACCAGCAGAGACATGGTACAGCTTTGTTCAGAGACACTTATGCAGGGCGAGCATTTGTTTGGCTACAAATGCTCGCCCTGCATAAGTGTGCTTATGCAGCTGAAGTGTAAAATATAACAGTCACACCTAGAGTTCATCTATGACTGTTTATCCATACAAGTTTATGCAAGGCTTTTTTTTTGTTCATTACTTACAAATTCTAGATGTGATAGAAAACCTAATGCTAGAGAAGAACATTAGCCAACAATTAAAATGGACTTTTTCCTACAACGTTTAGATGCTTACTTTAATTTCAGTGGCTAGCATGAAACTTGCCAACATTTCTAGTTGCTTAGGAAACTTTGGAGAAGTGCATGCAGACATTTTTCTCTTATTCCTCTGCCAAAGTGAAAGCTGGGTCAGAGGTAGGTTTGCAGTGCTGTTTGTCTAACTGTCAGAAAGATGGCAAAAGCTACCAAGCCAAATTTCAGGAATCTTAGTGGACAGATGGTGTGGACAAAAAAACCCAAAACAACAAAACTCTATTGCTTTCTTAAAAAATTGGACGCCTCATGAATGATGGCATCTTAGAGCTCTTTTGTTTGATTTCATGGAAATCAAACAAAACAAGGGCTTCAAGGGATCTAAGTGTCATATTATATTGTGATATATGGGCTCAATCGTGTCAACTTCTTCTGCAACTCCAATTTCCACCCGTGGAAGTTAATCAAAGTAAAGAAGTGCACTAAGAAGAGTAGAGGAAGTACAGAAAGATCTACACTCACTGGCCACTTTATTAGGTACATATTGCTAGTACCAGGATAAACCGGTTTTTGCCATCAGAGCTGCCTTAGTTCTTCATAGCAAAGATTCAACACAATGATGGAAGCTGGAATGCTTCCTAAGAAGTTTTGGTCCATATTACCATTACAGCATCAACCCAACCACGACACACCATGACAGTGCCTGTCCCAAGCCCAGTCAGGTGGGGAGGTTGGTGTCAGTGAGGGCATTCGGCATAAAATCTTGGATGCAGATGATCCAACCCCTAAAGGGAGCAGCTGAAAAAGGAAGATTGCATGGTAGCAGTCACATCCATGATGGAAAACTCGACCCCAACTCATCTATTGGATTGAGATCTGGTGACTGGGGAGGACAGGGAACTCACTGTCGCGGTGAAGAAACCAGTGCGAGATAATCTGAGCTGTGTCACATGGATTTTTATCCTGCTGGAAGCAGTAATCAGAAGATGGGTACAATGTGGTCAAAGATGAATGGACATGATCAGCAATGCTCAGCTGGTAAAACAGAGCTCAAAGTATGCCAAGAAGATATCCTCCGTATCATTACACCACCAGCAGCCTAAACTGTTGATACAAGGAAGGACAGATACATGCTTACATGTCATTTACACTAAAGACTTATACTGTCCATTTATATTGTAGCCTCAGTATCCTGTTCTTAGCTGACAGAGGTCACACCTGGTGTGGTCTTCAGCTGCTGTACCCCAGATGCTTCAAAGTTTGATTTGTTTTGCCTTCAGAGATGTTCTTCTGTGTAGCTTGACATAATGATTGGTTCTCTTAGTTGCTTTTGGCCTTCTATGACACCAACAATCAGCAATATTTAGTCACTCAAATCACTGATTCTTCCTCATTCTGATGCTACGTTTGAACATTAGCAGATTGACTATGTCTTCACAGTCTTTTGTTGATCTACATATTTTATTTTATTTTTTTTACATTATTTACATTTGATCTTTTACGTTGTATATAATGTCTATTGATTTTATTGTTTATTTTAATATTTTAATATTTGTGTACAGCGCTTTGTGATTGCCTGTCTGCGAAAAGCGCTTAATAAATAAAGTTTACTTACTTACTTACTTACAGTCCTAAAGAGATATTTTCAATAGTAAGGAGTTGAACAGGCGTACCCAAAAAGTGACCAGTGAGTGCACATGTGAAAACAAAGCAAATGCATTCTGCACTGTGTGGATTGCATAAAGTGAACGAAAAAAAAAAAAAATGGAAAAAAGCAGTGCTACAACTCAGACAATTTCATGTATTCAGAAGTCTAAAGGCCAGATAGTCTGAAGTCCACTGGAAATTCACAGTTCCAGCTTATTTTGGGCAGAAAAGCTCTTGTGCAACTTTCATAATATATAAAGAAGAAAAGGGGGAACTCTGCAGAAAAAAAGGGTACTAAAAAGCATGTTCTGTTATTTTCATATCCCCTGGCAATGACTGTTGCATTGTGTCTCACACAACACCAATGCATTAAAACATGCGGGCAAGAGATGTTGATGTGAGAACTGCAGAGAGCGGGCAATACTGAAAGCAAAAAATGATAACATCTACAAACATAAAGAGGAATTAACACTGGAATTTTGCTAGTAAAGGCACTTTTGTTACTTTGAACAAAAGAGTGAAGAGAGATGGTGGAGTAACAAGTTGGCAGCTTTTTTTTTTTGGGGGGTTGTTTGTTTGTTTTGTTTTAGAGGCGGGGCTTCATCAACACCCAAATGTGATTTCAAGAATCAGAAAGCACGAAAAACAATTCAGCACAAATTCAGCAAAAGGCTCTTAACTAACCAGGTGCCATCATTTAGCTGTACGTAGGTGTGTGTGTTCATGTGAAAGTCAAGCTTCACACCATAGCTCTCACATATGTAATAGAAAAATTATAATGAGCTACCCGCTGCCTTTTTTCCTGCGCTGCTTAACAAATGTCAAATTTGAGCAGCCATGCAAGTGAAATTGGAAAAAAAAAAACAAAAAAAAAAAAACACACACACAAAAAACAACAATTATGAAAGGGCAGCTTTTTTTATTTTTTTTTTTTACATAAAGCATTTAAAATAACACACAGTTCCAGATTGTTTTCTCTGTTTGATGATGCAAAGATAAAACTTTTTTTTGTTTTCCGTGCAATCCAAATCCAAACATGTAGTTGACATCAGGCAATGTGTGTTTAGCAACCATCCAAGAAGATTAATTTAACACAAAAAAACCCCCCAAAAATAAAAAAAAACAAGCCCTGTGTTAGACTGCACATGGAGGGAAACGGCTCCAGCGCAGTAGCCTCGCTGAAGGGACAAAATTGCTCTGCTAATCTTTTTGGCCGTTAAGCTGTTTTCACAGAATAATCCTAAATGAAATGAGAAACAAACTCACAGGCTCTTTTCCATCCATGGCCTCCATCCACAACTTCCTGTCTCCCTCCGAAAGAGCTTGGAAAGTGACTGGCGTGTTTCTATGGAAACAGAAACAAATGACATTAAAAAGGCAAAGGTTGCAATTTAATCCTTCAGTTAAAAGGGTGTACTGTTTCAATATCCAGCTCTTGTTTTGGGGGGGGGGGTTTGAAACACTCGTACACATCATACACATTCTCTTAGCAATTGAGGAGAGACAAAGTGTCTTTAAAGTAGCTGATTAAATCGCATGTGGCAGCGATGGGAACAAATTGAGATAAATAAGACAAGCATAAAGAAATGATGAAAACCCACTGCTGCAATCTGTCCTCTGCAGAAGTAACAAAATCCAGTGCCAGAATTTACAGCTTGTAGGCTACTGAATCAATTGTTAACCAAAACAACTGTGCAATGAGTTTAAAAGCTTGTTCTGCCAATTATGCTAATCAAGCAAACCCAAAAAACTCTTCCAAAATTCAAAATCCATTTTAATGATCATTATTCAACACGAGGCTGTGCAAGGCAGTTTTGAAACAATCCCTTTATTACCTACTACTTAGAATTTAAAATTAATGCATCAATACAGTAACAACAATAATAATAATAATAATAATAATCGTTAGCATGTAAACATGACAGTATAACTTCTTATATATTTTCACAGCTGAGTGGATAAAAAGGAAATTTAACTTTTAGAAGCAAAGACTCATTGTTGATTTTGACCAGTTTTCCGATTTTTTCTCGTAGGTCAGTAATCTGTATTCAGGTTAGCATTAATAAGGTACTTTTTAGTCTTATTGACCACTCAAAGCACTTTTAAACTACAAGCCACATTCACCCATTGACACTGCAGTTTATTCCACTGCTGGAATTTATAATGGACCATAATTTCATGCAAAATGTGAATTTTTAAACAGTGCTAACCCGGGTGCACAGGCAGCACACTCACTCTGTTACTGAGTGCTATTACTTGAGGCTAGGAGCACTGTGGAGAGTTACTCGTGGGTCTAATTATATGATGCAAAGATTAATATAAGACAGCAATTAATAACCTACAACCAACTCTCCTGAGTAGGTTAAACATCACGGCACACAATATTTTGCTCTTGTGCTGGACTTTTGAGTGCAGGTGGGGGGCTCTGGCGGCTCCTCTGACAGGAACCAATTGAGCAAAAGGTGAGGCGTTAGATGAGGCTTGCAGGTGTTTTCCCGATGACAGAATAATTTGTGTTAGAAAGTTTGGAAGAATACGTCTAAACTGAGATCAAAGCTCTGCTCTTCCGTAGAAACATCAACACGAGTGAGCCAAATGCTGACTTTTCTAAAAAAAAACAAATGTAACAGAAATCAGAAGTGCGTGAAACCAAAAGCATAACAGGCACACGGTTGTGCCAAATATTTGAATTTTTCTCACCAGTGCGTAAGGGGAGATGATTTATTGCCTTGGTATCGTGGTTTTACTTTACAGTGAATCCAGAATGTTAACAAAATGCTATGATTTAAATAAGGCTGCAGAGAACTAGTTTAGTCTATGCATAAAAATTTCTGTCACACACTCACACACACACAGTCTGTGCATCAGGGTCTATTTCGGATTCAGCATCTTGCCCATGTATACTTTGTAATGCACCTCATAGGACCGGCATCAAACCAGGAATCTTGTGGATAACCTCTAATACCTTAAACAGAGCCGTCCCTAAATCCAGACCAGCTAATCAAACGGCAATTTGTATTTTTAACAAATAAACAAGCAGGTACTAAATTGTCAGAGGATATGAGAGACCTGTAACAATCTTCACTTTTAATCCACTTCCACTAAGGTCAAAGGTTAGAGCCGGTTGCCTTTCAGGCCCATTTGTGCAGGCTTTTCTTTGCCTGAACTCACAGCATTAGCTCCTACATTAGACAGCACTGCCACCTTGAGTTGCTCAAACAGCCAACTCCTGGTTATATTCAGTTAACAATCAGGATTCAGAGCGATGTATAATTCAAGCTGCTTTTAAACCTTTTTTTAAAAAAAAGAAAACCCAAATATTTTTACCGATTTCACGACACAAACCTGTTGTGTGACAGAAATCCCTGTGGCTTATGAGGCTATTAAAATGCATGTTGTCCTGACTGGCCTGCTTATATAAATATGAGCCTGTTGTGTTCTGTCCTCGGAAAGTTTGCCATCTGTTTCCAGCTCTTTGCTTAGGGATTGTTTGGGCTACACTCCATTAAGCCTTCACACCATGTCCTTGTAAACCACCTGTTCACCTCGCTGCCTGAATCTGTTTATCCCATAAGGCTTTTGTCTCACAGTTTCTCAGCTTGTTTGCACTAACCTCTCGATGGTTTCCACGTCAAAGCAAAAGCGCTTATCTATGGATTCTGTCTTCCGGCGGATGCAGGATTTCAGTGTGAGCTGTATGGAGCCCTTCAGGTGAGGACAGAGAGTTGGAAAGTAATCAGTAAACATAATGGAGACAACAATATAAGAGAAAGTCTTCTGAGGAAATTTGGTGTTTGCTGAAGGTGGGTCAGCACCTGTTTAGTTGTAGTCTTCTGTTCACAAGGTACCATGACTAGCACTCTCCCCTCTTTCTGATACTTACAATAATATTTGACCCATGTCATACCCAGAGCCCCTGGAGGAATACAAAGCAGTTTTTTTGGGGGTTTTTTTTTTTAAAAAGAGCCTACAGAAACAACTAGATTCCACATAAACATATAGCAACCCACTTACGCTTCTCCTGACAATACAAATAACCCCTCATTGGAAAATTGTGCATTTTATAGATCTGGGAAGGCTGTTTCATCCTTTTCATTAGCTCCTCCAACTCCTCACAAGTGCTTTCATAGTTGTTTCTTGTCTGCAGGCAAAACCGGAAAGTACTTAAAACAATGTATATGATTTAAGGAAAGTGAATTTTGCTGATGGCATTGTCGGTAACAGTGCTTACGTTCTGCAAGCTTAGCTGCAGTTCCTGCTTGTAAGGCATGAAGTCCTGAGTCATCTCCACTGTCAGGTTGTTAAGTGTTAAAATGCTGTGAAGAAACGCCAGCACCTGTCCAACGAGTGTGTGCATTACATACAACAAGAGTCAACGCAAACAATGCATGAATGACACAAGGAATATTTCCTCAATGTTTTGTTATGTGCGTGGAAGCACAAAAACCGCACTCACCGGCTCCACCACGTCAAACTTCTTCCTGTCCTGAACCTGGTGTATCTGGTATACGTACTCGACTGAAGATTCATAGAAGTTTACACGCTCTTTATCTAGGAGTTCATCAGCCTATTGAAAATTCAACAAAAATATCATCTTTTTTAAAATGGTTCTCACCTATATATTTCCCTACCCAAGTGATGCAAAGTATTTGTTTTACTTCAACTAACCTCTTGAAGCTGAGTCTCTCTCTTCTTGGCAGAGAGATTCAAGTGTTTGTCTAATTGGGAGTAATATTTTTCACTCTCTTTATCAAACTTCTTTTTCTTTTCCTGCAAAACAGATTGTAGAAAAAGATTATTTATTATTAGAGACCACCAAACTCCAGTGTGCAGTTCAGTACTGCCTTTTGCATTGCATTCACAGTTCCAAAGTCACCTCTGCAAGTCAAATTATGTAACAGAGAACTTTTACAAATCACCTGTTTGCATGTTTCTTTCTTTTTGTTGTAGAATTGTGGCTTATAAATTTGAAAATGCATATAGCTGATAACACACCATCTTGAATCTGCTGCTAATAGCCATCTGCTATCAGTCAGGCTCAGGCTAATGCTAAAACCTATAGATTATATCTCAATATTAAAATGCCAGTACGTGTCAACTGTCAGCTGTAACATCTAAAAATAAATGTGTTTTCACTGTATTTACATGAAAAGTTAGCAAGCGAGCTGAGAATATTAAAAAGATAGCTAAAAGTAGCAAAATACAAAAAACACTAGCTAAACTGATAATATACAAATGATAAAATAAACATTATGCAACGGTTTTGGTACAGTAGTAGGAATAAATCCTTAAAAGTTCAAGTTCATGAAGCTCAAAAAATATAACTTAACCAACATTTGCTAAAGTAGCGAGCTAAAAGTAATCAAAAATGGTAAAGCTTACAGCTTTCTTGTAAGTGCTCACTAAATGATAAATGACTAGACAATAAAAAAGTACAATGAGTACAAATACAGACAGAAACGTGAAAACTTGAAAATGTAAACCCTGTAAAATATCAAAGACCAGATTCAATAGCTATATTGTAACGTTAGTAGATGCAAATTTGTATGACATACCCTGTGATAGAGTCGCTTTAACATTAATAGCTATAACTAATTGTTCCCTGTATTGCTTTATCAGTCTCTCATGTCATAGTGGAGGAATTTTGGCCCACCCTTTTTTACAACATTGCTTCGGTTCACTGAGGCATGTAGGCATTTATTTACGTACAGCTCTCAGCCGCTGCTACACCTCGATTCTTTTCTTTGTGGATTTGCTGCTGTGCTCTAGCCCTTTCTCTTGTTGCATGTTACAATTTGGCCTAAGTTTTAGCTACTGGATTGACGGCTGACAATTTGACTCTAGAATACTTTGATATATAGAGAAGTTCATAGTTGAGCCAATAAGTGAAAAGTTCCCAGGTCCAGTGGCTACACAACAAGCTCAAATCTCCACCCTTACAAAGTGAAGATACACCCCTTTGGTCTTGTCTGTCCAAAGGACATTGCTATGGAAGTCTTTTGGTTTCTCCAGATGCAACTTTGCAAACCTACGCTGTGCTACCATGTTCTTTTTAGAAAGAAGAGACTTTCTCCTGACAAGCCTTCCAAACAAGAAATATTTATTCAGTATTTTTGCAATTGTGCTGCCAAGAACTTTAACATTTAACTGAGACATGTAGAGACTAACATGTAGTTCCTAATTTATTTATTTTTTTAGTTTTTCCATGTTTTCTGTAGAGCAGCAAAGTGCCAAACCGATGCTCAGTTTGATTAGCAGCACCTGGATGTTACTCATTCATAATTCTTATGGAAACTGTAAAGGTGGGTTTAATTTTTCTCAGTACTGACTGTAGATAAATTAATATAATTTTTGACCGTTTTGTCTGTTTGTATACCCTTAAGAATATGTACCCTGATTTTATTAAGCGGTACATCTATTAGGGCAGGGCTTTGCTACATTTAATAATCAGAATCAACAGATGCTTGATGAGAATATTTTAAATATGAGACTTCCAAACATCATTTTGAATAATCACAATATAAAATCCTAACTTTAATGATATCACCTTAGAACGAAATAAAGAAATTTGTTGAGCTGCTCTCAACTACAGCGTGCACGCACTAAAAACACCTGCAATATCCTGTTTTTAACAAAGAAGACAGGTTATTGTGCTTCAAAAATAGTTTATACACAAATCCGGGGAAGTACCTTATGACATCCTGTCTGGGCTTTGTGGCAAGGAGAGGGGGGTTATATATACACTTTAATGACCTGACTGTCCAAGCAGAGAAGCACATTTTGAAGCTACTGAAGTAGATCAAGTGCTTCCAGTGCCATTTACAGGAATGAGCCGTGATGTCACTTACAAGGCAGGGTAAACAAAGAACTTACTTTTGTTACTCCTATTTGCTCCTTTCTGAACTTCTCCAAGGGCTTGATGAGTAGATCTGATGCATTCTGAACCTGGACAGGAAAAAAACAAACCGTTACTGACGGCTACTAAACATACCGTGTTTGTAGATTCACTTTCTAAGATAATGTAAAGAGTTTTGATTTTTTTTTAAAATCTATACACTTTTCAAAACAAAACAAAACAAAAAACAAACAAACATCACAGTTCTGAGCACCTGCTGCAAGTTCAATTAGCAAGATGACCTCCGGTTTTAGATTTACATCTCTATCTGGAGAATCCAGTCAAACAGGAACTGCTTCTCCCATTGTAATAACCTGCCTGCCTTAATTACTCGGAGAATAATAAAGTGTGTGAATCAGCAAAAACTGAGGTGACAAAACTTGCATCAAAATTTCTACCAACAGCAGGCCAATATGTAACCATAAACAAAAAGAGAAGAAGAAACCCAAGAGGGGAAGTGATACCAAAATGATTACCAGCATTACACTTCACAGTGCTTGCATGCAGCCACACCTTTACACAACTGACATGTCTTGTGTGACAAAATGAACACATTAAAGATGGCATCACAGCAAAAAAAAAAAAAGAAACAGAATGCATTAGTGGTTTCCTTTAAAGCAGTATCACTTTTCGCGCAGGATAAATTAATGCGGTGTCCAATATCCAGCAAGACTTCAAGCAGCATGCACAGTCAGCATGGAGGAAGTTGATAACCCACCAGCATCATCCTGTCGTGCTCCACTTCCTGCAGAAGTCCAGCAAACTCCTGGAATGACTGCGCTGGGGAGGAAAGCACCAAAAGAGGATAACTTTTGCATGGTGTTATCGAAACTGGCTGAGTCAGAGGACATATTAGGAAAGCAGCAGATAACACTTGCTCAGAACTTTACAAAACTCACTTTATGATTTATGCTCATAGAATTTCCACTAATCTTTATGTACGTTTTCCATAGAGCTCTGAGGCAGGTTATAGTGGAGCACACAAAGCCTTATGTTTCCTCTTATCTAAATTCTGAGGCATTATCAGCTGACAGCCAAAAGTGCTGTGCTTTCCACCGCGTTCAAGCGGAGAAACACAAATGTAGAAAAACGACAATAAATTGGAATATTTCTGGCCACGTATTTACTCTGACTGCTTAAAAACTCAAGCAAAATCCAAGGCAGTGCGCCTTTATCACTCTTACCAATGTTAATCTCGTCATCCGTCAGTGAGTCGCCGATGAAGTCGAACTGGAACACACTGAGAGTCTGGGAAAACTTCTGCACTGCCAAAGAGTATCCTGAAAAAGAGAGAAAATAAAAACACGAAGCGTGATCTGTAATTAATGACAAGTTACATACACTGCTTTTAAATTCAGTCCAGTTCTCATGAATCTAAGCACAGGCCAAGATTATTAGAAGTTGGTGTTTCATGTTTCCCCTGATAGGAAACCGGAAAGTATGAAAGACATCCTTGGCAGGATTCAGCAGCGGTGTAGCAGCCAGTATGTGGTTAATAATGCAATACATTATCCCCGTCATGCCTGGCTTTTACTATCAAAACAAAACAGAGCCCTTCACATCACTGCTGTAGACTATTTAGTCCAGAGAACTTGGCTAGTTGTATCTAGCCTCATACTTTTTTCAGTGGAACAATCGTTTAATGTTCTTTCCATCAGCCAATTGTGCACCCAACCCCCTTTCTTCTTGTGTTTTAGCTCTAAAGAAATCATATTTGATGACAATCAGTGCTGAGGCTGAAAAAGCATTAAAGGACATGAGCATTCTGATGAGCAGGATGACATGAACCTTGAAAAATGTTTGGGGGGGGTTGCTTTCCATGGACTTTGTCCCAGCAACTCGTGACCTCTGACTATTATCTGGATTTACTATTGGACCCTCACCGCCCCCCAGCACCACTACAGTACCTACAATGACAGTTTCTGTTTTCGAGGTGAACAGCTTTGCCATTCAGGATTTCCACAGCAGTATCTTGGTGAGTCAAACAAAACAAACAATATCACCCCCAGTGGGTGCCACGCTGACCCAAATATACGCATGTACAGTTCTGCGTCTGCGTGGCGTCCCTGGCTCTGACCTATTCTATCAGTGGGAATGGTCCCACCTAAACATGAGCGCACAGAGAAGTGGAGAGGCGATGCAGGGACTGATGCAAGCCCTCCAAAAAGGAGACAGCTGTTGGGGAACAATAGTGCTGGTCATCCTGCACATCTGCAGCTCTGTGGCCTCTCAGTTCAAAGCTCTTTCTCCTTTTTTATGGCTTTTCCCTGGAGAGCAATAACAACTCCCTGAATACTCCTCTCCCACATAAATACACACTTTATCCTGCAGGCCTACGTAAAATAACGGAGGGGATGCTGATCCATTGGCATCAGAGCCCTAAATCTACATGCAAATCGCAAAAAAGAGCAATCTAACTAAGCATGCTCACCCTTGATTGCAGTGATCACACTATTCCCGTCTTTGATCACTTCTTTGAGGAATTTGTTTGTCCTCTCCAGCTCCAGCTCGTAGCACTTGAGAGTCTCTCTGAAATCCGGACTGTCCAGATAGCAGTCGCTGAACTCCAGCGGAGGATGAACCATCTTGTGCACCGCTCGACTTTATAACACAATAGAAACACTGAGTCCGCTTTCCACAGAGGCGCTGCCTACGCTCGTCCGTGGCACACACCGCTCATTTCTGTTCACTTGAGGCTACTCCACACATTCCGCTCCGAGGTTCGGAAACCATCGTGTCCGTGGGAGCCTGCGGCAACGGGTGGTTACAAATAAACTGATCGAAACAGTGAATTCCCGCAGCCTAGGCTCACTTCCCTCTTTTATTCGTCCGCGCTGCTAATGCTTCGGTTTAATTGTATCCTGGTGCCCTGACCACTTTTTTGCTCCTTACCGTGTCGTAATTAAAAGAGCAGCTACGATCCCTCTGACCGCGTCCCATTCCAAAATCCACACTTAAATGACGCCTCACTGTTCTTTCTTAAATAAGCTTTCCATCGCTAAAATTAAAACCCGCTCTTACCAACCCCTCAATGTAGTGAGTATATGTTCTTAGTGAGTATATTTTCTACTTCAAGCGATATTATAAACATATCTGAGTCCAATATCCTTAGTAAAAGTCAATGACAAAGCGCAATGGAGCGTACCCAGCTGGCAACAGAAACACAAAAAACTCCCCTTTTCCACACCCAGAAGGTTCTTAAAGGGCTCGCCGGACACTTTGAGTAATTTGTTTGCCATGGATGCTGCGTTTAGGTGCAGTCGGAAAACACAATTACACTTCCAGACAGGCGGATAGGGTGTGCTCCTGCAGTCAGGGTTAGGTACAAGAATTTTGCTTGTGCAAGCAGAGTCACGGCACTTAGCTTACACTGAGGTGTTACCGTGACAGCAGTCAGAGAACTTATTTAAATCCCACGCTGGAAAAAAATGTACATGCTGCCCTTTCTGTTTATGGCATACAGAGAGCAACATAAGTCAAATTCCTTGTTTGTGTGCACAAACTTGGTAAAATAAAGACGATTCTGATTCTGTAGTAAAGACAGTGCCTAAATATACCAGTCTCAGCATTTTCTTGGTTACTTGTTACTGCAACTCCTCTGAATCACTATAATCACTTTTGTTATATGTGCAGACATGTTTCTGTCAGAAGATGCCTGAGCTGAGGAGTTAGAGGCTGGAGCGAGATTGCTTCAAGGGAACTCTCGCAATCTAGAGTGTAACAGGACTGAGCTAATGTACAAATCTAGGGAACTTCTACTTTATATTTCCCCCTGCAACTGTATTCTTTTACTCCGGCACACTTCAGAGGAAAATACTGAAAATTTCATCTCCCTGCTTTTACCTAACAGCCTTCGTTTTTGGAACAAATCCATTATTTGTGT